CAAGTCTTTAACGTGAGTTTTCAAAAGACCAGCTTTTTTTCTTAATATTATAATAGCTTGGTAAGAGCATTAGAAAACAAACATCAAGCTCCAAAGGTATTTTTATATATATGTATACATATGCATATAAACACACACAGAGAATTTTCTCTGTGAATTGGGGATGTGCATATTATTATTATATTAATTATATTATATTCATATTATATGAACATATTTCTGATGTAATTATTTTAAGATTCATCTTTAAAAACATTCATATATATTCCATCTTTTTCAAATACACTAGCTGAATTGCATGATTTTATCATATAAGTTATTTTTATCTTTAGTTGCAAATGAAGGAAAGAAAAATTGTCATTCCAATCAAACGTTTTAGTCAGTATTCTTGCTTTTACAAAGCAGAATCATACGCAGAATCACAGGTTAAGCAAGGGCAAATAAAAATACCAGTTGCCGTACAAAGGTCACAGAAGACAAGTCAAGATTTTCTGAACAGCTATGTTGAATTCCAGGTGCGCACCAAAGCCAATTATCTGTATAGACCATAGTTTCAACTAAAACACACTGTATATGTAAAGCATTCACTGTTGATAACTGACCTACAGTGGAAACCTTCTCAAGGGACAAGTCACCTGTCCTGCCACGCAGGAAGCTGAGGAGGTGGAGAAGGGGCCAGCGTGGCTGAACAGCCAACTACTGACGGTGCTCTGACACAAACCAGAAACACCGAAAAGTGGAAGGACAGCTATACCATCCTGAAGGAATAATGCCCAGGGAGGGAAGTAACTCAGAAGGTCAAAACTCAGATGGAGATAAAGCTGGCAAGGGATGTGAAAAGCAATAAGAAAGGCTTTTATAGCTACAAGAACAGACAAAGTAATGTGAAGGAAAATATAGGTCTGCTGCTGAATGGAGCATGGAACCTAACATCAAAGAAGAGGCTGAGGTACTCAGGGCCGCCTTTATCTCAACCTTTCCCAGCACTGCCTCACAGGCAGTGTAGGCAACTCACTGATGGCATCACAAGGCCTCTATTTCATCAAAAAGTTGTGGGACTCAAAGGGCATCTCCAATGCCTGGAAAAGGCAAATAATATGCTCATGTTCAAAGGAGTGATGAAAGCTTGGTAAACTACTAGGCAGCCATCGCTTCTGTTTTCAGGAAGATCACAGTGCAGTTCCTTCTAGAAGACATTTCCAGGTACATAAAGGACAAGAAGGTGACTGGAAACAGCCGCACTGGCCTTATCAAGGGTAAATTTTGCCTGACCAACCTGACTGCCTTTTCTAACGAGATGACTGGCTCTGTGGATGAGGGGAAGGCAATGGATGCTGTTTAATTTGGCATTAGCAAAGCTTTCAATACAGTCTCCCACAGTCATGGTGTCTTCCTTCACAGAGATACTCAAAACTCAGTTGGACAAGATCCCATGCAGCTTGAATTAACAAGCATTGCTTTGAGCAGGATGTCAAACTCTATGACCCTCTTAGCATCTCCCTCCAACCTAAATTACCTTATGATTCTATGGTTTGTCTGTCTTAAGTGTTCATAACAGAAATATTAACTACAAAAAACAGAAGCAGCAACTTGAAGAACTTCTGAACTTATAAGTCAAAATTGCCAGTAGCAGAAGAAACAAGAATCATAGAATCATTAAGGTTGGAAACGACCTCTAAGATCATTAAGTCCAACTGTCAACCCAACACCCCCATGCCTGCTAAACAAGCTTTATCAATCGACAGGCAATAGCAGTAACATAGGAGAACGACAAACAGGAACAAGTCATTGATATTTCAAAAACATCTGGAATTATACTTCAAGTCATTTACCAAAATACTATAAACATTAATGGGGCCACTTAGAGAAAACCTGCAGACATTACTATAGTCTGAACTGGACAAACTGAATAAAAATGCACGCTCTAGACAGTATTTGGAGATGCTGTGCACCCTCAGTCTTTTCTAATTGCTCCTGAATTCTTATCAGTAGTTAAGACTGTTCTACAGTACATTCCACAGATTAGGTTTCAGTGTCTTTCTTCTTTCAGGAAACACACAAGCATCAAAATGTTGCAGAAAATCTTAATTCTTTTCAGGAATTTTTTTCTTACAGAAAAAAAAAAAATTACTCTGCTGTGAACTTTTAATGCTTGCCTTAGGCCTTCCTCAAGTGTCTGGGAAAAATTAAATCCCTAAACAAGAATTTTTATGCCACTAAAGCCTACAAGTTTCTGCTCTAGTGGATAAAATAAGTCAACGAATTCTCAAAAGACCTAATTACAATTACTACTACTACATATATCTGAACAAGTGAATTGAGTGAAGCACAAATGATGCTAAGGAAAAGAAAGTGTCTCCTTAAGCTACGTAAGCCTCAGATTTCACTTTTTTCTATTGAAGCATTACTATTTAAATCAGTATGCATGATATATGTATTGTCCAAGTTCATTTCCTTATTAAAGGACTTCTTTAATAAGAGGCTTAGAAGATAAAAGGACAGATAAAAATTGTAAAGACCACAGTATCAGATGGATATAATTAACCATTTAGACCAACATGTAGCATTAGAACAGTATCCTAGCAACTTACTTTGCCCACTTTCTAAAATCATAAAGCAATGCAAGTAATTAGCCCTACTTTTGTGGACACTTGGAAGGACTATCTGTGGTGATAAATGAGATACAAAAGACGGATTACACTTGAAAAAAGCAGAGTAGTTACAATCAAATATACAAAACCTATTTGCTCAAGATCAAATCTAGCAGAAGAGAAGGGTTCAACTACAGAGGGTGTTTTAACTGTGCCAAACATTTTCACAGCCACCTCCTCCCCTCCTATTAAATAATAACAATAAAATCAAGGCAAGTCTGCTGTCTTCTCTGAGTACTGCCTAGTTCTCAGAAGAACACAGGTATTTGTTCACTCACAGATAAAGAGCAAACAAAGTAAAGTAGATGGCAAATAAAAGCCAGATAACATTTCTCAGTATAAATGATGAGGGAAGTTTATACAACTTACACCGCTGTTCCATATCCATAGAGAAGTATCTGCAGCAGTAAGATGTATACACATAATTAACAGTAGTTTGCACAAGCACTCTTAGTATCTTAATTACTCTGATTGCTATAGCTATTTTGGTGCTTAAAAATAAAGTTAGAACTGTCCTAACCTTTCAGAGGCTCACAGGACAAGCCAAAAATGAAAGAAATGAGTTTGTTGAACTGCAAGAAGAAAAGGCTCTGCAAAGACCTAATCGTTGTCTACGACGTAATGGGAGGGTGTGCAGAAGACAGAACTAGGTATATCTCTAGGTGTTCTATCGAACAATACGCCATGGACAAAACTTGGAATGTGGGAAATCTTATTCAGTTATTTATTTTTCCACCACAAGTGTAATCAAACACTGGAAAAAGGACCCAGAGAGGCTGAACAAGGTCCTGTACAACCTGCTTTAACTTGATCTTGCTTTGAGCAGAAAGTTAGACTACATAATCTCTGGAAGTCCAACCAACATAATTCCATGAATGTAGACACAGATAGCCAGCAAAATAGTGTTGATATAGTACAGAAAGTATAAAAAAAAAAACCTTTATAATTTAACCCGGATTCTGCCTTTTCAGATAGTGGAACCTGGATCATCAGAAGGTGTATTGCATGTCCATACATTTGAAATTTTAGCACCACAAGCTCTGTCATGCTTCCTACATAACCAGTGCTTTTAATCCAAGATTTTTCCTCAGTTGCCCCTTTGTTCCTTAAGTTATCAAAACATTGTACATAGGTAAAGCACTATTATAATCATACATTTTGTAGCCACTATATTAAAGACTAAAGGATGCAATAACCTTTAATTTCTATAGAATACTACGTTAACATAGAAAACATAAAACTATTATACCTTGAAACTCCGAGATTTGCCCTCTATTTGAAGATATACACAAAAATCTCACATAAATCCTTTTTCCTTAACCAGCAATCAATAGACACGGATAAAATGTAGTCAGCTACCTGGCATTTCATCTTCCTTTCAAACACCCAATCAGTTATACCCACGCAAAACCACTGAAAAGCCAAGCATTACTGAAATCATAACATGAAAACATGTGTCATTAATACTACATCGTATAGTCCTCCAAAGTTCACAACACAGAGAAAAGTCAACAGTCAAATCATTGCCACTGTCATTTTTTACAGTCTTAAGCACAGCTTTTTGATACAAACAAGATCTTTTATATATGATTCAGTAGCACCCTCACCCCAAACTCAATGCTTCACTCTCACAGAATTACTTACAGAAAACCATTTTAAACTTGAAACAATGATAATTTTATCTGTTCCTGGAACTGTGATGTGGCATTCTAGGCATCTGTTTTCGCTGTGCACTTCCTATGGTGTAGTTAATGATGGCTCTCAAACAGTCACAAGGAAAAAAGACAAATCCATTAAACAACTTAGCTGTTTAAAACGAAATTCTTAAATTCCCTTATAAAAAAGCCATACGCTGACATCAACCACAATGGATGACTTGAAATAGTTATATAAGCATCGAAGTGAATTTCATGAGTTCTCTCAGCAACACAGAGCTCATCTTGAAAGTCTCAGCCTGAGTATCACAGCATCATTAAGGCATCAGCCAGACACTGACACAACATGAATGTACACGTGTCCATTCAGGTCTTGATTTTAACATGTTTTTCAGTATCACACCTGCTCATTGTGCATCAACCAACAGGCAAGTTTTTTAACAGAGGAAAAACATTTTCTAATTATCCATATGTCTCAGCCACACTGACAGTTGATTTGGCAAGTTACAAACTGGAGGATGATAGTTATCAGTGACAAAAATCTAAATAATTCTGGAAGCTTTCATCCAACTTCCTGCCACAGAACAAAACACACAGTTAACTATAAGACAAGAAATAGAGGGAAGAGGAAAGAATTAACATTGGGAGAAAGAAGAAATAAGAATATATATAACATTTTGCAGACATTACTCACCAAAAACAGAGTTCTGAAGTTGCTCAGATCACCAAAGAATTCTTCTATGCTTACTACTTTGGGATCAAAGGTAAAGTATTCTCCCAAATTTTCATACAACTTAATCATGTTGTTGTGCATGTTGGACAATTTTTCATACTGCTCTCGGGCACTCTCAGCAAAGCTGTAAGGTTTTGTTAAGGAAAGTGATTCAAATACAATCCAATCTAACAGTAAAAAACAAACAAGTAACAGAAGCTTAGTACAAAGGTTACAACTGGAAAATCTGCAGGCACCGCCCTGCTTTCAAACACAACATTTTTATATATTAATGTTACATGTCCGCAAGTTCATACCAACATAAGGTGGTGGCACACTTTTCCATTAAATGATCCCTTTCCAATGGTGAAGATTTGCCATTAATAGACTATACAACTGACTTTACAACATTTCTAAATATCTTGGCCATTTTTCTTCTACTAAATGGTTAAAGTTGTGAAATACATTCTATGAAAAGACATATGGAAAAATAGCTTCCTGTGATAATCTCTGATGCCCTACTCTGTTCAAGTGATGTCATGTCCTCTGTATTATACACATATATTTTTTACGTACAATTTGCATTGTGCATAACTACAAATGACAAAATTAACATAGAATTATAGAATTATTTGGGTTGGAAGGGACCTTACTGATCATCCAGTTTCAATCCCCCTGCCATGGGCAGGGACACCATCCACTAGACCAGGTTGCACAAAGCCCCATCCAACCTTGCCTGGAACATGTCCAGGGAGAGGGCATCCACATTATGACCTCTAATTTTCTTTTCCTTTTATTATAGACGTGTCTTCTTTGTGGATTCTTTAATGCATAGCTACAAAGCTCAGCTCACGCCTCAAGTTTCCTGTAATAGGTACACTCATTTGGGTACTCTCTCCTCTTAACTGTGTAATTTCATAGAACTTATAAAAATGGAATATCCACCCACCTGCCCCAGTTAACTGACAAACAGCTTTGAAAAATTATTAGCAAGAAAAACATCATGGAACAGCATAAGTCTTTTTTCCCTTTAGGAAATATGGAAGTCTAGAAATGAAACTGAGATTGACTTCCATCCCAGCAGTCATCCTTAAAAGTTTGACATAATTCTTTAAAATAGAAAAATGTGGGGTTTTTTCCCCCATATGAAAAAAAAAATATTTGGAACAATTTGTTTGGATATCCATGAAGGGTGTGAGCTACTAAGAGAAACACTAGTTTGCCTCAAAGCAAGTTTCAGTCTGCTGTTATCTTGTGTTTCGGTTGTCTAGATCCACAAAGATACAAAGTCCCAAATCACTGTTAAAAAAAACAGCTAGTGCACCATTAAAGTAGTCCTGCTGATACTGAATTGTAGCTGATGAAAGTGTTGTGCTGTACATATCAAATCCCAAGAACAACAGCCACAAGTTATTCCCTGAACTACAAAAATCATGCAGCCTGGCTCCCTGTGGCTTTCACTTGTAAGGGGTTCTCTTCCATGCGGATTCTGATCCTTAAAACAGCAGAGCTCATGCTTCAACCTTTCCCCATACTAGAGTCTCTAATTTGAGACTCTGCCTAGTATCGCATTTCTAATTACTCAATATCTTTGAGATCCCTATCTCTCTACAAAATAACAAACAACGTGGAAACTAATTAGGGGGAAGAGACATACAGAGAAATTGCATAAGTCACGTATTTTTGAGACTAGACTAAATCCAAAACCGACTCTTCAGAAAATAGTCAAAAAATTGCAGAACGAAGAAAGGAAATTAAGGTGGATATTCTGTTCGTAACATTTCTGTAGTGTTTGGATACTGTTGAGCACTTAAAAGGCTGTCATCTCACAAGCTACATGCAAGAGTAATAAGGCTGAAAGTATATTCCATTAGGAAGAGGTCTAATATTCCACTTGGATTTTCCTGCTCTAACTAATGGGAGGTATGTAAATAGTAATTTAAAAATTGATTTTCAAAAGTATGATCAAAAACTTTATACAATGTAAATTTTCCTCCCAAGAAACTGGTTTTCCAAGTAATCCTCTCTTCTTCATAAAAGCCTCAGTAGCATAAAAGGAAAGATGTATTTTTTTGTCAGCTTATAATGTTCATTTACAAGGGCAAAAAGCAGAAACTAACAAATGTGATGGATATTAATATATAAATATGAAGATTCTGAAACAGTAACATCTACCTACATAGTTTCATACCAGTGCAAACATAGTAGTAATACTTATATTTTCCATTTATTGAAATCAAGTTTAACCTGCTTGGATAGAATTTCAAGCTTGGACTGTTGAATCCCTCATCTTAATACAAGACAAACTTGGTATAGTTCAGCCTTCAATGGCATCTAACTGTACAAAAGGAAATTAAAGTTTAATGACAAGGATACATTAAATAGGTAATAATAGTACGTTATTGAGCTAGTCTAAAAGTTTTAGAAAAACATGAATTGCGGTAGAGTCAGCAAACTACTGTGTTAACTCACCAAAAATACGAGGAAAAAGAAATACAAAGGTATACAGTTACAGAAATTGTATCTGTGATTCCTTTTTCACTCTGAGGGTGACAGAGCACTGGCACAGGCTGCCCAGGCAGGTTGTGGAGTCTCCTTCTCTGGAGTTCAAGACCCGCCTGGATGCGGTCCTGTGCAGCCTGCTGTAGGTGACCCTGCTTCCGCAGGGGGTTGGACTAGATGACCCACAGAGGTCCCTTCCAACCCCGAACATTCTGCGATTCTGTGAATATAAACCCGAATTAATATACTAACAATGACTGAAAAGCCTGAAACAAAGAAATGAAAAAACCTTCAAACAATCCAGATTTGAAATTAATTCATTGAGACAAAGCTCCTAGAGTCAAAATCTCCATTCAGGTTGCACATTCAACATGAGAAAACACAACAGTAATCACTAAAAAGAAAAAAAACCCAATACTGCTACTGAAACTGGAACATATTTTAAAGTAACACTGTAGAAACATATACTGTTATTTCAACATTATTATTTTTTATCTAGGAAGTGCCAAACTGCAAATAAGAAATACCTTTAACAGATGGCTCGTAAGACAAAACAATGTCTGTAAGACAGATGAATATGATGACCAAAGAGAGAGTAGATCTTCATACTTGTAAAATACTAGTAACTTCAAACATCACCTTGAAACGTACTACTTCAAGTCACTGCAAGGACTTCATCAGCATAATCATTCCAGAGAAGCAACACCATAGCTGCCTAAGCTATTTCATGAAAAAACATTACTGAAAAATCTAAGCTATCAAAACTTTGCATAATAGAAATACTTAATTCCAACAGTTTTCATTAATACAGATTGAAGCTTTGACGACTGCTAATTTAAAAACTGTAAACAAGGTTTCATTCTTACTATTCTGAACCAAAATAAAAATCACAGAACTATCAAGTGTAAAGACGCTGGTTCAGCTAAGAGAAATTACTTTAATCGCAACCTTTGTTCTCCACATGCATGCATTTTTTAGTTTCTTTCACAACCTTATGAAAATTCCAAGCCAAGACTTTACAAAACATCACTTATAAACATTTTTTTTCCATCTTTGTTACCATACCTATCTCCCAAAGTTCCACATCAACCAAAAAAAAATTGGTTTGACATCAAACGTACGGAGAGCTGTCGCGTTACTACGATTAGGAAATGCACCACTGCAACAAGAACAGAACCATACCTAACCGCCACCTAGGCAACTTGGTACCTCTAATCCTTACTGATGTTTTGAAATACCTATTTTAATGGGAACTAGGTAAAGGACAGTTTATGCCCTTTAATTGATTTCCTTGTTTATTTTTTAACACTATCGCAGATGGCAACTACACAAAATTTCTCTGAGACTTTTTAGGTGTCAAGTTTGAATTTCTGAAGAAGTGCTATTGCAGTTTAGTATTTACACGTGTCTTCCAAGAGCACTATCCTATTTCACTGGTTTCAACATACCACCCTGAGATTAATAAATTAATCACTGTTCAGTAACTGGTACCCAAACTTTAACAATAGATGCTTTACCATGCAATCCAGTAAAATTCTCTGTACACCAAGCTGCTAAAGAACTCTAACAAAATTAACATGTAAACAAACAACAAAAGAAAATTTCATGTCTTTTAAACTACAAAAATACAGGCAAAGGCAGAGCATTAACTTCCATTATCCTTACTATTTTGTTAACTTTTGTTGCCAAATTTCATTTATCTACTAATTCTACTTTTTCCTGTGCTTTTCCTGTTAAAAGAGAGGTTGGGAAACCTCCACACATTTTTGTCTGTCTTTCTTTTTTTTTTCCCCAAAAGGATTCTGTTTACATTTGTATTACAGCTGCCAGCTTAAGTTTCCATCCAGTTCTGTGGTTTGCTTGACAATGACCACCACCAGCAAGGGAAAAAAAATGTTTAAATACCCAGATGGATGCAGTGAGAACATTAAGTGTAGCGTCATTATCAGTATACAAGTAAATATTAGTACATCTGTATGAAGCCAGCTGTAGTGACTGAAAATATGTTTTCTGTAAGTCAATGATTTTTCACACTTTGAAATATGACCAGATGACTACAGTTTGCTGGTATTTCAATGCAATGCCTAAATTAACTCACTCAATTAAGCAAGCAAGGGATACAAATGTTACCATGACACTATGCTACAACATTATGTCAGAGATAAAGAATCACTAATTACCATCAACAGTAAAATTAAACTCTTCCTGTCCATATTAGGACCACTACCACAGTACTTCCATGCTTTCTCCTGGATTCTTCCATGCAAACAGATGAGAAAAAAAGATCAGAGAAACCAAGGTTAAAGACTCCAGATCCGCTGGAGGGAAAGTCATCACTTCTACCTTAACATCTGCTATGAATTTCACATCAATATATCAATACCTTGAACAATAGAGTTAATAAAGCACCTGAACACACAAAAAACTCACTTGCCCGAAGGTAAGACCTATTACTGTCAGCATTTACAAAGAAAATGAAAGCCAGCACTGACAGCTTGGCATTCATCAACAATAAATATCCCACAGTAGAAAGAACATTGGCAATTTCACTATAATTATAAAAAATGTACTGGTGTTCCAGCCGTTAAAGAGGCTCCTCTCCAGGGTACACAGTCACCATAAAAATTGAATTTAAGGGATGTTGG